CCCCCCCCAGATGACAAAATTTGATTTTAGACATATTCCAATAATGTCACTTTTTCATGCAACCACTCCATCACCTTCAAATTCATGCTCAAAACTTCAAAAACCCATCTCATCACATATTTTTGCACAAAAGAACATCCTAATCACCTTGAAGATGTTGCAATTATGCTGATTGGGCTCCCCCCAGATGACAATATTCAAATTCAGACATAGTCTCATAATGCAACTTTTGCATAAAACCACGGCTTCATCTTCATATCTACACACAAACCCTCAAAATATCACCTCTGGCTCCCGCCCTGCCATAAAACACACACATGATAATGGAAGAAGTGTGCCCATGAGCCCATATTTGTAGTCATAGATTGTCCTATAAAAGGCGCACATTTCATCTCTATCCGACTTTACCCTACCTCACCTTCATCACACTCTTATCCACGCTCAAAGCTTCAAAATACCATTTTTCACTCACACTTTGCCATACACCACGCACACGGACATAGAAGGCTTCTCCCAGTTGACTCAGAATTTCAGTCTTTATTTCTCCTTCAAAAGGCGCACATTTCTTCTCTATTCAACTTTACACTAGCTCCCCTCCTTCACCTTTATATATACATATATATGTTCAAAATACCATAACTCACTGTGAGCGATGGGGTATAAAAAATGGTGTGATAAAGACCACCAAATGATGGAATCCTTAGAGCGAGAACTAAAGGATGTTGCCACAGGTTGTTTTGAGACTTTTGTGGCTGAGCAGATATGTTCGCATGACTCAGCGTGATCTGTGCGCTGAGAGCAGACAAAACAGACGAGGGTGAGTCAAGGTCAGACTAGTCTGGACTCAGATCGACTGGAGTGTGAGTTGAGGTCAGACTAGTCTGGACTCAGATCGACTGGAGTGCGGATGCAGACCAGTCTGGGTGGAGTGCGTAGGTCCAGACTGGTCTGCACAGTTTGGACGAGTGGAGTGCAGACTGGTCTGAATTTATCTGCAGGCACACGGAGTACACAGACCAGTCTGTAAGCAGAGGCAGACGAGTCTGTAGGCGGAGGAAGACGAGTCTGGGTGAGACTTTGAGATTCACAAGTCAGACGGGGCCGAAATGGGAGGTCTGGGAGGTCTGGGAGGTCTGGCGATTCTGCTACGGTAGCATACCATTTGCTTTTTGTTTTTTTTCTTCGGTATTCCACCGAGGGGTCTGTACGCTACAGGTGACAAAATGATAGCTGATGTCCTCACAAAACCATTGGGAAAAGCGCCATTTCAATTTTTACGAAAAGCAATTGGACTTCATCATAGGGATTCAACTGTGTAGCCTCATTCAATATTTTCTTTATATATTCTACCAAAAAAACAATTTTTTTATTTTCTTCTCTGTTTCTCTATTTCTTTCTTATCATTTAATTCTTTCTTCTATTTCTTTCTGTTTCTCTTATTTTTGCTTGTCGTGCTTGAGGGGGTGTGTAAGAATACAGGTATCATTTCAAACACGACAACCAACACGGTACAGTTCAATCAACACGGTACAACTCAATTAATACAGTACATGACCTAAAATTAAACCTAACTTTAATTATCATCATAGTATCACATATAAATAGAAACTAACGCCACAAGCCACGCCGAGTTTTCCTCATCAGTTCACTGAGGAAAACTGGCGTGTGAGTCCTTTCTTATTACATCATACTCAAATCTAAATCAATGTTGTTGACCTCATCTCTATTATCATTATGTTGTTAGACCTCTTGTTTTATTTCTTCTCACCTATTTAGGTGTGTTACTGTTCTTGTCTTTGGTGTTCAGAGCCTATAGACTCACACCCGATTTCTGGTGTTATAAGGTTAGATAGTTTAGTATATGAAATTCAATATGATCAGTTCACTGAGGAAAACTGGCGTACCTCTTGTTTTATTTCTTCTCACCTATTTAGGTGTGTTACTGTTCTTGTCTTTGGTGTTCAGAGCCTATAGACTCACACCCGATTTCTGGTGTTATAAGGTGTGTTACTGTTCTTGTCTTTGGTGTTCAGAGCCTATAGACTCACACCCGATTTCTGGTGTTATAAGGTGTGTTACTGTTCTTGTCTTTGGTGTTCAGAGCCTATAGACTCACACCCGATTTCTGGTGTTATAAGACTTCCTTTATCAGGAGTCTCGAGTTTCATATTGATTCTCTCACTTACACGTACCATTGAGATGGCTGCTGAACTCAAGCTATGATACAAGTCCTTCGCCACACCAGCAGCCCAGGTTGGGGTTCTTAATTCGGCCCGTCGGTTGGCCAGCTTGAAAGCTGCACGCAGGGGCATGTCATAGAAACGGTTGAATGGGAGAGCGTGCTTCAAGATCCAGATGACTAGAACCGTGTTGCAAAGATCAACACTGAAGGTTGCTTGAGATAGAAAAGAGTCAAGAGTGGGTTGGCCATTGGCTTCGTTCGACACCACCAACATGTCAGCTTGTTCTTGAGCCCAGGTGCGAGGTAGGATACAGCCAGACTGGATTGCGTCGGATCTTTGAGGACAGGCTGCTCGTCCCTTGGCGCCATCCCGATGGGCGAAAAGGTTGTAGTGCGTGCGAAGACCACGTGTGAACCGGCCCATGCACCAACGACACTTGAAAAATCGAGGATCATCGCCTGTCTGAAACAATCAAAGATAGAAACAAAACAAAAGAAATCATTATGAGAGAAATTTAATAAAGAAAAGAAAGATTAATAATGTTAAAAGAACTCTTACCTTGCCTTTGACATGGGTTGGAGGATAGAAATACTCCAAAAGCTTCGAAACACGTCCAAGTTGAGCACGGCGAACTCCTGCACTGTCAACAATCTCTATATCAGAAGATTCTTGGTCTACATCAATGCAGTCTGGGACACCGGTCTTCAAAGAAAAAATAAACATAAAAGAAAGAAAAAAGACGATATGAGAAGTGAAAGGGTAAAAAGACGATATGAGAAGTGAAAGGGTAAAAAGACGATATGAGAAGTGAAAGGGTAAAAAAGGATCAGTTGAATCATGTTCAATCAATCACAATCTGAATTCATCTTTGAGCTTACAAGAACCGGAGCAACAGCTTTCTTGCGTTTCTTCGCTGGTGCTCGAGGCAAATTGACTGAGGCGCCAGAGCCTCTTGGACGACCCTTTCCACCCCGACGAGGTGACTTGGCCTTGGCCACTTCCTTGGCCTTTGCTCGTTGAGCCTTCTTCTTCTTGTTGCGTCGCATGGACGCCAGGAAGTCGGTGGCGCTGGTGACTTCCACAACAGAAACAGCTTCGTCATCAGCAGAGGAAACAGATCCTTCAGCAATATCAGTGTGCTCTTCTGGATTAAAGGGAGGACTACTAGGATTTTGATCAAGATCGAACTCGGCTAAATCACTCGAAGGTTGGCGAAGTGAAACTCGTGAATCAGGAGACTGGATCACGAAGCCTGGCCTAGCACTAGGACCAGTAGGACTTCTTGGACGAAGATGACGAGTACTAGTAGCAGATGCAGGAGGTGCAAGGGTAGAGTCGGGAGGAGACATGGTATCTAAACTATTGATGAATCAAAAAAGAGATTTGATTGTAGAGAATTCAAATAAAATGGTAAGATGAATGTGAGATGATTGTAAGTTTATGATTATCTGCTGAGAGCAATATTTGTGAAGCAAGTTCAACTGGGGAACAAGCAAAAGATCAAGATCGACTCACCTTATATAGACACCTGAGCACATAAAGTCCATAATGATATGTCGTCATCAATCTTGATCTAAACACGTTCGAAGGGCAAACTCAAAACAAATCAAGCTAGAATCATCAGTATACACCTTCAATACCAGAGAGGATGAATGAAATAAATAAATACAAATAATAAACATCAATATACTACCCGTTCATCTCCGATGATGTCTTCGTATTGTTGATATGATAAGATTTGGCTAGTTAAGGAATTATGAGTTCCCTAATCAGACTTCAAAAGCGTGGTTATTTAAATGTGGGGGTTAGTGGAAGTTGGTTGGACGTATTGAGGGTGATTTCTTGATGGAATCGGAGGTGAAGTCGGTCGGACGATTGGTGTTTACGTATTGCTTGGCTGTGGAAAGGGAATGAATGGGATATATACAGATATAGTTTACACCCGCTACATACCGCTCTGACGGCCGGCTGCGGGGCGTCATTTTGACCCGCCTCGCCAATTCCGCGTCCCGCCACATGTTAAATTTTCTGGGGGCGGCGGTGGCGGGACGATTGAACCCGCTGCACAAAAAATTTTGTAGCGGCGACGGGGCGACCCGCCCCGTCCCCGCCCCGCCGCCGCTTTTTGCGGCGGGTCGCTTCAGGTGTTGCTCATAGGCATGATTTGGCATGATGACGTGTTTGGGGTAACATTACATTTGACATTTACATCTTCTGAATATTAGACTGTGGCTGAGAGACAAAGTAAGAGAGATGTGGTTTGGAAGTTACGTGATTGACAAAGAAGATGAAGAATAATAGAAGCATAACACTATGAACAATCAAAGATGAAGCAGAGATGGTGCCACGGGAAAAAAAGTATACCCATGAGTTATATGTGGATGTCAAAACCGCAGCAATGCATCAGAGTGTGGCAAAGATGTTGCTGAGGAACGTAAACTGAGAGACCTGCAGATGGGGTCAATACTATAAATATGGGGCATCATGGAGCGGAGTAACGCACCATTACATCAAATTGAAGTGTTTCTATATCTTTGTTGATGATGTTGCCATGAACGCAAATGGCGGATCCAGCGGTGATATGGGGCCAGAATCGGTCAAGGGGAGTCGCATGTCCAAAGCAATAGGGCAGTTCAAGAAGAGAAGTGCGAACGCCCTGCACGCAGAGTGGTGATCCAGTATTTTAAGGATGCCCACTCCTTAAAATCTTGTTTTGCAAAGTCTCGAACACCGTAAATTTAAGTTTTAAGTGCTGAAGAATGTTAGGTACAACGTTTGCCAAACCACCATGGCAATTTTTTTCTTAGATCAACATCTTTATTATTATTATTTTTCTTTTGTTTTTCATCATCAAGATATCGAAAGACCTTGGTCCAAGGCGTTGAGAAAAAAACAATGTTTTTTTTTGGAAAAACAACGGTGACAATCCAGGAACGAACAAAAAAAATACAAACAATGAAGTGGTTTTTTTGCTCAAAATGTGCCTGTCGGTTTGAAACACTTCATGAATTTTAAGACAGTTTATGAGATCGCAAAACCGTGAACCACCTTTAGAGGTGGTTCACGACCTTTAAATTTTACTTAAAATTTAAGGGTCCCAAACCAAATGTAAAATTTTAAAAAAAGCTGTAAAAGCCCTTCTTGAACCGCCCTAATAGACAACATTAAACGTAAGGCGATTCTGGACCTGACTCAAGGTGTCAGTACGTGTAACGTTTTGTAGTGGAATGAAGCACGAACGAGGGGATCATAATATTCATGACTGGCTGTGAAAACCATGTCCTAATCAGGCCCATTAGGTGGACCGTCTTTGAGGTAGAAAGATACCACTTTGGCAACCCCAGTGAGAGTTGCTCGACCGGCAAGTGCGACATTGGAAATATTTGAGTCAGTAACGTCGATGTGATTGAGGGCAGTGTGTTTAATGGAAACTCGGCCAGTGACACTGTCCTGACCAAAAGGGCCAGAGATTGAATAAATGTGGTCGGCCTGAAGGGTGTTCACAGGAGCAACAAAACCAAGAGTTTCAAGTGGCTTGGGTATGGTGTGGCCCTCAGTGTCAACAAAGGTAAATGTCCCGCGGTTTTTGAGCCACGACATTTGTCCACTTTTCATGGCGACGGACTGCAAGAACATGTAAGTTTCAATTCAGCGTTAATGAATGGGGTGATTGACAGGAGAAGTTACAGTGACAACTGCATTGATGATGGCATGGCAAGTCATGCTGAATTGCAATGGAACAATATAAAATAGAGAGTAGGTTGTGGAACATTGGCATTGCTAACATCCGTGATGCAAGTTCTCATATATAAGTTCTCAAATGATGCTGAGCCAGTGTTTGCAGGCTGGACCGCCAGGATGGTCCGGTTGAATTTGCGTAATGACCTAGCATTGGCGCGGAAACTGGAACAGGCAGCTGCCAATGACAACATTGGGAGCAGGATGTAGGTATCATCAGAACTGTGGTGAACTTTTACTCTACAAACATCAGAGTAGGTACAGGATTGCTTCTCTAAATCCACTGATTATTAGATTCTAGGTTTCTTGTGTGTTTGACATTTACGTATAATCTCATCAGCATAATTTTCTACTTTTGATTCACGGTATTCCACCCATTCTTCCTCATCCATAGTACTTCTTTTATTAAGAATTAAATTAATGCATTGGACAATCAACTTTGAAACTTGACACGATGAACCAAATTGGGTGATTTTTGATTGTCAAGGGTTAACACGGTCACCTTTTGCACCATGAGTGGTTGATTCAGTTGTCTGGTGTTCCACATCCGTCGCCCAGACCATCTCCACCACTCCACCACAGTCTTCAAAGCTGACTTCAATATTATATTCAGGGAAAGAGAAATGACCTTCCTTGACATATCCATGTCTTGATTTGCTACCACACCTGTAAAGCTTTCCAGTCCCACGTTTAATCAAGCCAAACAATCCATATGAATAACCTGTAGCATCACGATATTTATGAATCTTGTTATACCATTCATCACGAGTCATTACGAAGTTTCCATCAAAGGCTTGTTCGTTGGGTGAGTTAAAGAATTGATGTGATGCCCATGAGAGGCCGGCCTTAGCACAGATTTCGTAATTTGATTGAAAAGCTTCAAGAGAAAGAGAAGAAAATTGGCCAGCCAGGAAATGTTGTATGTACGGCAGGTTCCGTTGTCGTCCGAGGTCCTTTTCCATGGAACGGATCAAGAGAGCAGTCTGGCGACTGATTGCATAAGGACCTAGATATTTCTCAAATTGTCAGATGGAAACCAAATAAACATACAGAGATACTCACCTCCAAAGACACCCTTCCAATATCCAGCTCTCATCCCAATTGCGAACATATCCCCTCGTTTTCTTTTCCCAAGTGCAACTTTTGGTCCATTGGTTGTAATTCGGTTTCTTGCTATTCCATGGTTATAAAGGGTTGAAATAGATCGTCCAAACTGTTTGAACAATTGCTCACTATCTTCAGTTTGTAATTTTATTACCGTTGGATTTAATATATTGTTGAGTGTTGAAGCGGATGACTGCAATCAATTTAGTGCCGTTCAGATTGAGGATCGCAGCAGTTCCTTTTTTTAAAGTGAGGAGTTTATTGCTACCATGGTTGGCTTGATGAATCAAAGTGACATTGTCAGGTAGACCAAACTTCTTCTTGACTTTCTCTTTAAACGCTTTGCGCTTACAAGCCCGGTTGCTAGTTGTTGATTGTGTAGCACTTGCAACAGTCGGAGGGTCAGGTGGTGGAGTGGGGAGTTGGGTTTTTTTCTCCACACTTTTAGCAATCAATCGATCCTTATGATCCTTTGAATGCTAGCTGGGTTGATTTGGCCCAGTATTTGGGTTTTTGCTTGCTCATATTGAAATCACCTATCAATCAAATTCAATCAGTCAAAGCTCTTCAGGCAATCACAAAACAAAGCTCCATCCTTCAAAGCCGTCAAGCCCTCCAAATAAAACCTGGCATCTAGCAAAACCCCATCTATATAACTACCGCGTGCAGCGGAACCATAGTTATATAAACACAATTGAGGAGATGTCCAGGTTTTGTTTCCATCTTCCGATACACTCATTTTGACTCCAAACTGCTTTTTCTGTCTTCCAATACTCTCATTTTAACTTGAAAATTGTTCTTCATTACCCGCCAGCCCAGTCCGGAGTTGTAGGTGCTGGATTTGTAGCGCCTACATGTGCAAGACTGCATGTAGGCACTTATTTGAGCTGAAAATTGAATGTAGGCACTCAAAAATAGCACCTACATTTCAAATCAGATATGTAGGCGCTTGAAAATTACGCCTACATTCTATAATTTCAAATGTAGGCTCAATCAAATGACACCTACATGATTGTTTATCATGTAGGCATCATTTTAGATGGTTTTCAGCACCTACATCATAAATGTAGGCGCTTTTTTGTGTGAAATACCCATGTAGGCCCTGTTTTGGCAGCTCCTACATGGTTTTCTTGTGGGCTGCAAATAGCTACGGCCTAAATAATCATGATGCACTTGGAGTGCTAAAGTTTGAGGTTACTGCACTTTCAAAGCAAACTCATGTTGAGAATGTGAGTTTTAGCGTGATGAATTGGTTTGATAATTTCCTTTAGACTGATTTCTCAAGCCAACAAAAACCAATGAGTGTGTGTTCCACAATACCTTTGATCAACAGATTCAAGTTTGATTGCTGTCCAGTACTGCTATAGCACCGCCAACATATTTACCTTGGATTTTTCAATCCGAGGTATCATCGGATTCCAAACCTCAGACAGATTCTGTCCGAGGTTTTGATCCAAGGCAATTCTCAGCGCAGAAGATTACCTTGGACAAAAACGTCGGACAGGGTCTGTCCGAGGATTTATCTCCGATGAGGCCTCGGATTCCGCGACCCGAGGCATCTATGTTGGCAGTGTAGTAGTCAAATCTACCCCATACATATAACAAGGAATTGAAGTTAGTTATATACTTCATATCACTCCATATGCTTCGCCTAGGACCACTACTTCTGCGAGTGTAGAAAGATATGTTGAGACTATTCAAGCTATGTTTGATGAATTCACAATGGGTTGAAAATATTTTGCATTTCCCTTGATCAATCAACATATCTCCCCCTCATCAGTTTGATTTGTTGCTAATAATAACCTTGCTTACTGATTTTTAGCAAACAGATAGAATGTGGATCAGATCAGGCCATCAGTTAATCAGCATGCAGCTGCATTTCCTGCACTACTAGAGATCCCATCCAAAGATCACCCATATGGCAAGCTCAACTCATTCTTAGGATTAAGTTGAAATTATCCATCCTCAAGTCCATAAACTTATATTTTACTTGGCCTTGGTTTAGATCCCAAAAACAATAGTATACTTAAACAGGTTTGAAAGCTATTTGGGGAATAGGCAACTTACTCATATACTGATTATGATTTTAGTTTGGCTTCAGTTCTTTCTGTTCCCTATCTTTGTGAATCTATATTGCTTATTGTCTTGACCTCAAATGAACCTGCTGTAACTTTTCTGATTTAACAGAAGATTGTGATTGATCAGTGTCATCAAACTGATTACCCAAGTTGCCAATTGATCTGATTTGCTAAAATTATCTAGGATTCAGGACTGCAATTTCAATTTAGAACTTTCAATCAAGAAATTTCAAAATGTCAAAGACATTATAGAAATTTACTACCAACAACCTTCAATCAATTGATTCAAACCCTTATGAATAAGATGATACAATCAATCTCAATCATATCTTCAACTTTCAGCTCTCATCATTCATCAATATCATCAAATTCGTTTCCCAGCACTTATTTTGACAGATCCAGTCATTTAAGGTGCTTTTGATTTGCATCCAACTTCTTTTGCTCTCCTCTCACTATCTCAATCATATAAGAATTGACAATGGATACAACAAAAAATCAGACAATATAGATATCAAACACAACCTTGGTGCTAAGCTCACCTTTGACCAATTCAAAAACTCCACCTTTGCCCAAACTAATTCCAAACTATTATTATCTTTCACCTGATTTATACATTTCAAGCCTTTGTTTGTACACCTGTTTTGCTCAACTTGTATTTTGTACAAATGATTGAGTACTCCTTCATTTGACATCTGATGACATATCTTTTTACATTTGACTATCATTTTTATTCAAGTCCCTCATTTTGAAGTTTTGAGTTCCATAGTCCAAGTTTACAATTTTGGTCCTGGAATGCTTATGAGATTCAATAAAACAATATCTGATATTGTTTTCATTGGTTTCTTGGAGTAGAATAAAATAAAAGTAAAAATGATTTGTGTGACTAAATATATGTGATTTATAGATCTCCTTCTGATATCTTTTTTTCCTAGTAACTTTCAGCTTCTTCATATATCATTTCTTAACCATCATCACATGATTCGAAATTGGCTCTTTTGATCAATTCACTTGGGTCATTTATACTGCAATAACAACTGACATGTCAATTGACTGGAGTCAAATCTGTAGCGGCTTTAATAGGATGAGAGATTTTGCTAAAGCATTTCAATATTGAGAAAAACATTGTAGGATAGCTGTAAACCAGAACATATAAGTAAAAAGCCAGGTATAAACTCCAACAGAACACATTAACAGGACATCTGTCATTCGGGATCATCAATTGGAAATTCTTGATTTTCATACACCGGGACATCTGTTCAGAATATAGAAACTGAGCCGCAAAGGAAAAATTGGTTAGGAACCATCTGGGTGTGTAGGCTTAGGCTTAGGCTTAGGGCAGGATCCACTTTAATTCACAAAAGTTTCACAATGCAGTCATCAGTGTGCAGCACAAAAAGGACAAAAAAAGTTGTGCTTAAGTATGGGTGTCCCTGCAAGAGCGCCACATCCTCAAAATATTTTGGGTGCACCCCACAGTTATTCTGCATGTTGTGACAGGAATTCCAGTGCGGCGCCCGCCGCCTAATTGTGCTAGTGTAAGTGTGAAACAGTCACACTTGAAAAGCGTTTATACAAAACCACTTACGTAAGTGTGAACTGGTCACACTAGATTCATACAAAGCTACTCGCATAGGCATGAACTGGTCACACTTGAAATGCTTTGTTGTATAGGTTTGCTCATTACTCAACTCCGCGTAATTGAATAGGGGGGTGGGCATTTTGGAGTAAAGTACCTCTACAAGTCGTTCTGTCCAAGGTTTGGCCCTAAGCTCATCGCCCAATGAACCATCTTAAAAAAATCCACAATCTGGTCAAAAAATCATAGATGATGAAAACCGAGTGAAAAAAATCAAACAAAAAGAAGCTAACGGGAAGATTTTTGTCTAGGGGGATCTCAAAAGTGGTTAGTTCCATCATCTAAAAATTTGAACATGTTGATATCAATCATCAAATTTTCAAAATGAGTTGAAAACGACAAAAACCCTTACCTGAATACTTGTCACCAAAAACAATGACAGCTGAATAGGTATTCGCTGGGCCTATACCGGTAAACAAAACCAAAGCAGCCATTCCCCAAAGGTAGCATTTGCTTCAGCAATCAAAAAAGTTATCATCTCATTCAATCTAATCAACTAATCTTTAAAAAAACAAATTGATAATCATGATTTTGATTATATCTTGTCTAGAAAAGGTTTTTCAATAAGACATCAAATTCAATCCATCAATCTGCTCATTTTGATTCACATCAATTTGTTACGCAATTACAAAAAGATGGACTTTCAAGAAATCAAGCAGAAGGGATAATTTTAGCTATCAAACAAGTTATTGATCAATCTATTAAAGGTTTAATCACTGGTTTAGTTACTAGAAATGAAATCAAAAAATCACTTCTCTTTAAACCAAATTTCAATGAAAACTGTTTTATTGATGTTTTTGTTCTTTTTAGCAACAATATACTCAAAGAGTTGGTTTGCAAAACTTAAATCTGAAATTCAATTAGTAGAACAACCAGATTTTGCATTACTTAAATCAGAAAATGAAAGGCTATTAAGTGGATTAGAAAAATTAAAAAAAGATGAAGAGAAGAAATTGTAAACATGAATTCAATCTTCATAAAAACATGATCCTTTCAAATCTTTCAAATTTGTTAACCTTTTTTTCGTTATTGGTTCTTAAGACTCGTACTCAAGCTTGGGTTAGATCAGATACGAAGTTAGAAAAAGGTAGAATACATGATGGATTAGTTTTACGTGAATTAAAGATCAAAGAAGTAGATACAAGAATCAAAGGTGGAATCGGTAATTTACGTACAACCTTGGAAAGTGTGAAAAACAATATGTATGTATAACTTATCGAGAAATCCTTCACTACAAGATTGATTCTAACTTTTTCTTTTTTACGGTTGAAGTCTACAACATGTTGTTGGTACAGTGGCTTCTAGTGGTGCTTTGTTATTAGCTTACATTCAAATGTAAGTATTTCCAATCTCTTCAAACTATTCGTCCCATTTACTAAAACTGTTTGTCATTCTGTCCCCTTAGGTTCCAATAATAGATTCATCCTCTAAACCTTTTTACTTCCTCAATATGTTCTTTTTCATCTTGTTCAATTTTCTTTTCTGTTATCATAACTAGACTCAATCATGAATGCAAATGATTTCTTGCATGTAAATATAAACGTTGCCAGTGCCACACATGTATAATTGTTGCTACATATGTACATATGTCATCACATATGTAGTCACACATATATATATGTTGTCACACATATATATATGTTGTCACACACATATATATGTCGTCACATATGATTGTAAATGTTGCCGCACAGGCGTATATGTTGCCACACCCGCATATATGTCGCGCCCCAAGGTTCATGGTTGCCTTGCAAGACTTGATGTCGCTGCCCAAAGGCTTACGTCGCCACCAAAGAGTTGATGATGCATGCCACCCTCTAGCATGTTGCTGCACACCAAGTAGTGCGCCGTGTGATGTGACCAGTTGTTGCAGGGCAGGATGTGTCACGTCATTTCACACAGTGCATACGGACTACACCGTAAAACCACCTTGTGTGATATGGGTTTGCTTTTAAATCGCAACATCCCATGAAGATTGTCAAGATGATGTTATGTTGAATTTGATTCAAAGACCACATCATTCAAGAGATTCATCATTTAATATGATCCCGATCATTAATCATTCTAGATCAAGTTCTCCTAATTTAAAAGGTATTTTGAAAAAACCTTTGATGAATAATTTGGTTCATCATCAACATGGATTAGCTAGATTAGCTGGAATCAATCAGATTGGTGCTCATCATTCCATTAGTCATCATCAACGACATCAGAGTGAAACGTTTGGGATCTGAATGATTGAAAGATCTCAATCAAATCTGATGTTTCTCACCAGACTCCATTCAAAATAACAAAAAAAACAACCACATCATAGATTTCTTTTTTTTTCTTCTTTTTTTTCTGGTTTACAATACCTTGTTATTTTCAAAAATCATCATCATCATAGATTTCTTTACTTCTTTTGTTTGCTCTCGTCTTGGTTATGTCTCATCTTGGCTATCTGATCATCTTGGTTCTCTTCTCATCTTGGTTATCTCTCATCTTGAAAACCGCTTCACCACAGCCTCAGGAGGCGTTCTCAAACGGTTGCTGACATGCAGCTTGTTCCAGAAGTGGTGGTGGAACGGTGTCCAAATTGGTTTTGGCAAAACCAGTTCCACACCTTCCTGGGCGGTTCAGGTGACAAAACCTTTGAAATTGTCACAGGAACCGGCTGAGGCCAAGGACCATAACCCCCTGGTGTAGAAGTTACATGAGAGAGTTCCACCTTCAGTTGAAACTGGGAAAGGATTGGAATCCATATTGGATCCGCCTTAGAATAACCAAATTTGACAGCCGTTGAAGTCATCCAAGAACCTGGTCTGTGGACGACCACCTGAATTAGCTTAACACAAGCCCTGTCTGCGCGGCCACGTCTGCGCGCCTTGCAGAGGGGCTTGTGACTAATTGTTGGATTGTGGCACGGAGACTCCAGCAGCCCTTAAGTCCTCTTAAGTCGTTTTTTGCTGTTTCCTGCTTTCCTTGCTGATAAACATCACTTTAGCTTACAGGGAATGTTGTTCAGCACGAGTTTCTACACATACTGATGGCCACCTTTGGTTGGCACTCTGAGTGGTGTAACCACCCAAGTAAGCTGAAATTCTTACAATCCCTGCCTGTACTGTCTTGTTTTCGATTTTACGGTGCAAATACAGCCTGTAACCCCTTTACAAGTGAGACTTAAAGCCTGGATATGTGTCTTGGAAAAAGAATGACAGAGCATTCTTCCCTGGTTGATCAATGTTCAAAAACATGTAGAAGCCATTCCTGAACAGAATTGCCTGCAAGGCAAAGTGGTATTTATCAGTGAGGAAAGCGGCAAACATCAAAAAACAACTTAAGAGGACTTAAGGGCTGGAGTCTCCGTGCCAGAATTCGACGATTAGTCACAAGCCCCTCTGCAAGGCGCGCGGACGTGGCCGCGCAGAGAGGGCTTGTGTTAAGCTAACCCACCTGTGGCGCCTTAAACTTTTGAGCACGCACCCTATGAAACGGTGCGCACTTTCATCGGACCCGGACTCGAACCTCTGTGCTAGATCACGCTAGATCATCTAGATCAAAACTATCCCACCTTTTCCACACTCACAAAGTCAACTACAAGTTCCCAAAAAAAATTTGTGTATCAGAAGTGTCCATAGCACCATTTTTATCAACTTTTGACTTATATCAAAAGTTGAATTCACAAAGAGCACAGAGGTCAGATCACTCAGATCAGTCTGAGGACTCTCAGATCAATCTGCGCACTCTCAGATCAATCTGAGTGATCTCAGATCAGTATCCAAACTCCTCTCAAACTGACAAGTCACTCAGATCAATCTAGATAATCTCTCACCAGACAAAACATTCAGATCAATCTGAGAGCACTCTCTCTGATCTTGCTAATTCGCTAAGATCAATCTGGACACTTTCAACTCAACACCAAATACGCCTGAATTGCAACAATCCTTACCACTTGTGGATCATCTACTAAACAATACCACTCCAAACGAGCACATTCCTAACAAATTTAAGTGGTACAATTGTTATAACGCTTATTACTCAAGATGGATTCCAAATAGATAGCTAGATAGCTACACTCAACCTGGGCGGGTGCCCAGCAAGTTTAAGTAGTGTCCTATAAAGTCCTATACCAACTCGTACCTACAAATGTCAAGGAAATCTTTACTGAGCAGCCAATTTAATAAGTAAGCATATCAACACGCTGTCCAGTATTTCAATTCCACTTGTAAAAGCGAGGTCGACTGTCTTGCTTTCTGAACCTTTCAACATATGTACTTACAATTTGAATTCTCTTTCTTGTTAATCGAATGAGTTGATACAGTATTAATCGCAACCGTCAATTAAGCATTAAACCATCAATTGAGATTGCCAAATCAAGAAAGAGAAACAGCGCTAATTTTTACTCAATTCAGTGTTCAGACTGGTCCCGCTGTTATGATTTAATTGGAGAAACCAATTTGATTCGATTCCATTTGTATCATATCCTATTGCATCATGTACTTAAACGCACAACTTGTAGGTATATCTTGAGTGTCTCAGTCGGTTCAATCAATCGATTTTTGATCAAATTGATGTGAGTTGGATCAAATGGCAAGATCAATTGACACAACAAATGAAAGAGTAAAAAAATATGAAGGGAAAAGAACTCAGACAACTCCTACTAAACTATGCAATTTAGATCAACTTGAATGAACCTTTATAGATCACAACCTCTATTCAATAACTGAGTAATCTTTTCAATAAATCTTTGAATCAAAAAACTTGATTCAGGTAAGACAGAGCGACTAGGTTTTTGAAATATGTAACGCAATACACTTCAAGTCGATCAAAAATTGGGGTGTGATAAAAAAGACATTGGGGTGTGATAAAAAAGACAACTGAGCACTATTTAAGATTGTCTCACAACGTAATCACAGTCATTGATTGTGTAAAGTATCAAGCATCGGAGTCGGATTCAGGCTCAGAATCTGATAAGTCATGGGTTGGATCTTCTTCCTCTTCTTCGGACCCTTCCGTAGATTCTTCTTCTTCTTCACTATTGACACGAGTCTCCTTGGCCGATTTTTTGGATGACAGCTTCTTCGATGATTTCTTGGACGATTTCATGGTCTTGACGGATTTTGACTGACTTGTTTGAGCGTGGCTTTGACCCAAGGTTGTTTGAGTATGATCAGAATCACCGATTGGTTGATTTTGAGTGCCTTGAGTGATCGTAGGAGAGGCCGCTGAGGTTTGGGAAGCAATTTGAGATTTCTTTTGTTTGCTGGGTTTTTTTTCGTAGTCTTTTGTTTTGGTGGTAATTCAGAAGGTGGAATTTTTTCAATAAAAAAGTGTCCTTCTTTGATGTCGCTTAGCCATCTCTTCTTTTGTGAATCATCACAGCAGCGGAAGCCTGATTCCAGTTCTTCCGGTAACAGAGAACTAGCTGGTCGAGACAGTACAAGTCGGATAGGCCAACCTTTGTCGCGAATTATACTCGCTGGGTCATCAGATTTTGGGAAAACCTTACCAGGCATATGTTCGCCTTGGTTATAAAGAAGACACAAATAATCAGGATGAGTATTATTGTACAATCAACTATTGATAGAATACTAAATGTACCAAGGACAAAGGACTCACCCATCAATCTGTTGAGCTCCCTAGTCAGTTCTCCCCTGCGCGCATCAACAGGTTGAGGTGGCTTCTTCTCGATCTCTTGAGCAACTTCCTTCCCATGTACATATAACTTAAACTTTGTTGAAAATTTCAAATTCTTGTTGGCCCACTCTGAAAACGTCTTGTTGGTTGAAAAAGCTTGCTCCCAGCCGTCATCAATATCGCAGCTGACTGCAGTGAGGTGATAGTGAATGTGGAATCTTTGACAAACTGTTGCAAACTAAGCAGTTTGTCCAAGTCAACATCAAGGTAGAAATTGTGACGTTCCAAAACAAAGAAACTTACGTCATGATGTGCACTTCGAAATGCTGCCAAAGACTTGCGCTGAAGAGTGGCTGTCGATTCAGTCTTGTCCGGTTTCCTGAGATTTTTATGCACTTTGTCGACATCCACCAATTTGTTGAACAGTGGACGATACTTCTGCTCTTCGGCTTCGGATAACGGATGAATTTTTGGCACTAATACTTGGGATTCTGGATCTTTGTTTCTGGTTGTAATGAACTCCTCGTCATCGTCTTCAAATGGTTCGTCGCTTATCTGAGAGAAATCGGGCAGTCCAGCTAAAGCAAAAAATAACGGATCCTTGACACCTGTGTCACCTGTATCAATTGACATACCAGTCAGTAGTAAATGTCACAATACCATTGACAGATGAGCCGTTTCTTCGCAGCAGAGCAGTTCAGGTGACCTGGGTCACTATTTGCATACCCCCAAGGTTCATCACATTCAACTTTTAATCATAGGAAACTTTGGCTGGACTATGTACAAGGTCTAAAGATTGCTTTTAGCCAAAAAAAAACTTGACAAAAAATTTTGGTCAAAAAAGTGTTCTGAGGTAGTCTCAGAGCGCTCTGGAAGATACTCAGAGCGCTCTGAAAGACTTAAGTGAAGAAAATAAGTTCCTCAGAGCATCCGCACTCGTGCGGTAAATCGCGTGCGGTAAGGTAAAATTTACCGCAACTGCGGGGCCTTTCCCACACTGGTGAGAAATTAGGCCCGCGGTAGTTAACTTTTGATCGATTTGCGTTAGCGAATCGGTAAATTTACCGATTGGCTAACGCATGTGGTAGCCAAATTACCAGCCCCCTCTTCACTTCTCAAGCACACCAACTTGCCAACTTGCCAACTTGACTCAACTCCGACTCAACTCCTCTTGATTCCTCTCGACTCAAAACACCCGACTTAAGAATCAATGGAGACCCGACTGTCTTCTAATTCATCAAACTAATGGGTATGTCTGGTTTCTTACTGTATGATTCTCTTTATCCAACATTGATTAAGATTGTTCTACTTTACATGTGATTATATATATGTTCATTGAGATTTTGGATTTATCAATATCGAATTGGGTTTAAAAGGGTTTTAGATCAAAGTGGATCAATTTCTGATCGTTTGTTTTGATTTTAGAAGGTTTTGAACATGTCTTGTCGTTTGGATTGACTTCAAAAGGATTTGAAAAATAGATATCACATTCAACTGTAGAGGGGAACTATGCAAAAGGGTCTTCATTATCTGCATTTCTTTTCAAATTCTCAATGGTCTTCAACATGACAACTTTTAATTGATGGTGCAATGAATTTTTGTTTGCTTGTCTACAAACCTCTCTGTGCCAACCATCCAGTGGTGATGAGATCTCAAGTTACTCTCAAATGAACTTCCCTGTCCCAAAGCTCTTCTTCCCTGGCAGGGATCGCTTGAAATGCACTGATTGACTGAAAAGTCGATTGATTTTTTTGTTTGGTATATTTTGAGTCTGTAAACTCTGCATCAGTGTGGAAACTCAAATTACCTCTCAAGTTAGTTAACTACCGTGCAGGTAATTTTGGCACGAGTGTGAAATTTGGTCACGTTAAGTAATTTTTTACTTAATGTAGAGGTTGTTACCGCACATGACCAAGTTAACAACCGCAAACGAGTGCGGATGCTCTCAGAGCGCTCTGAGGAACACACCAACTGTACATACACACCTTCAAGTTCACACTCGATTTGGCTTTTCCGACTATACCGCTCCATTAACAATCCCACCTCAGCAAAGATAACCAAACCGCTCTCATCTCACGTCAAGTGTCAAACGACTCTCAGTAATTGATTCAGCATTTGAGAAGTCTCACTCAAAAAGCCCAGTTCACAAATTTCACTGAAGAAGCATTTCAATTCACATTTGAGAAAGTCAAGACATCACATTCACATTCAGTCAATATCATACAACATCATTCATTCATCAATACCCTCATCAGCGTCATCCTCTCCACCATCGTCTTCTGTTGCTTCATCGACTCTTCTATCAAAACCCAGCTCGTCATCACCATCATCAACCTCCAATTCCATCAAAAGCTGCTCAGCCTCCTCCCCTTCGTCCAGAGGTGCGGCATCCAAGATCTCAGCTTGTGAGGTTGAATTCCAGACCGTTCTACTTCTTGCTACTAATACTTCCCACTGTGTTGATATCAACCTTTCCTCTATCTCATTCAAACTACTATAGGTTTTTGTTTGAATCATCAGTCCATTCATACCTCCACTCCAGAAAATCCAAAGGCGAGCAAAGTTTCTACTAAGACGTGAATACACAGACTGTAGAACCAATTTACTCTCGATCAACTTCTCTTTTGATGTTGGTTTTGCTGACCCAACAACTTCAACCATCCACTTGTGAGCCTGCAGATCAGGATTGTCATCTGGATACATACACAAGAGTCAGTCTCTAGACAGGCCATCATACTATATACTGTAAGCTCACCTCGTAGATTCAGCGCTGTTTCAAGAACTGACAGTTTTTCCTGCATAATCACTGCCCACTTCACCGATTGTCGACACTCGCGTGTCAGTCTTTGCAGCTCGTCACTTGCATGGCATCTGTCTTGATAAGCTTTGATGCCGGTTTGAGTTTTTAGGTCCACGGCCCACGCTTCATCTGGATGCGTCAGTTGTCCCATGTCCCAGAAGGCATCCTCAATTGGCAGGCGTCGTACATCATCGAAAGAAGGGCAGGGAATCGGGTGTGGGGAGGGATAGTCTTTATTGAAGCCCTCAGCATTACGCTTGAAGGTTTCATACTTTTTCTTTAGAACTGCTTGTTTATCCCGCAAGGTTTTATTCGATTTCTGTTGTACACGAGTACCTGTCATTTCATTTCATCAATTCAACGTTGAATTAGTTTGAAATTCACATCAATATCCACAATTATCTCTTGAGCCTCACCAGATCTCTCATCACTTCTCTTCTGCGACTCAAATACATCTACCTTAGCGCCGTACAGTTGAGATTTAGCAACTCGAATTCAAATCAACTTTTTTCCTTTTGGGGCTGCATGTAACTCACATCAGCTAAGTTGCTTGATTCAAAATGATTGATATTGTCAGCTGATACACACTGGAAGATCCTGGCATATCACAATAGTGATTACCCCCCAGTTTGCCTACCAAATCATCAATATCGGTTTGCAGCAGTTGCAACGTTTGAGGCAAGTGAGTGAGTTTACGTTTGTCTGCTGCTGTCCTTGCCCTAATTGCCTTTCGTCGCAGAGCTATCAGCTCGTCACTGAAGGTAACAAGTTATGTTAAAGCAGCTTGATTTCAAAATTCATCTCGTCAAAAAAACTCAACTTGGCCTCCTGGTGTTTCTCCTCCAGTGCCACCAGTCTCTTGAGCTTATCGCTCAAAAGATTGGAATTCTCTTTCACCAGTACGCGCAGCTGACATTCCCGCTGCCGGCTCCACTGTTGATTCAAATACTCATCGGAATACATCGGATTCTTTTGCAATTCGTTCAAAACTTGGCAGCTCTTAGAATGAAGACTGTGGCTTGTGGACAACCGTTGCAGTAACCATCGCACTAGTAGTTCAAACTTTTATTAGTAAAAATACTCAATTGAATGGCATGTCTTATGGAACACCATGCTTACCAGATACCTTCCGAGCAGACTCATTGATGTGACGTGCTCGTAGCTCTAATGCACAAAGGCGATGAAATGCAGTAGAGTACCTCAGAGCTCCAACCAGAGGGGCTAGCTTGGACCAGATTCGTTCTAGCCCCTCCCCATCCGAAAGACCCCAATCCTCGTTAAGTCGAGGATTATACGCCAGCTGACACGACCACTGATGTACGTATGAGTGGAACACGCTAGTTCCAAACTTGAGCTGGCTGTTTTCTCGAGCGCGTGAGAAGAAGTTTCTCTTTGAAAACATATTGGATCAATATCACACAAAACAACGAATGTAGGAGAGCAATGAACCTTTATGATGCTCTTCTCAAGGTTGCATCCAATATCGTATAATATGCCAGCTATGAGTTTATCGACACCAATTTGATCTTGGCCAGTCTCTTTCAGTATCCAATCCATCATGGCCAGGGGATAATAGCCTCTAGAATCACAAGACATATAAGCTTGAGTCTTGATCTCAAACCACTTGTACATATCAAACCTACCTCTCGCCAGTCTGGATGATGTTAATGAACTTGATGAGGTGGTCATGTCGGCATGCCATCCCCATCAAGCCTGTTTCATAAAACCCTTTCCAAGTTTGACGACCTCAAATGTCATTTGCGGCTGTGTGTTGGTTACTGCATGGATCCTACACACACCTCTTGTTTGTAAGTCGTTGGTACTGGGACAAGCTGTCAAAAGGAATCACTCACGATTACCTCATCAGCTTCCTTTTTTTTTGCGCCCAATCGACGTGGAGGTGGTTCCATTTTGATTTTCCATGTGTTTATCAATTCAGGTGAGATAAAAAGCAAAGGAAGTACGCCACTTTCACCTCGCCAACTAGCACTTGCACCTTCGTGTCGGCGATGCTGAAAGTTACCGTCAAGGCATACTATGAAGTCGGGCTCATTAGCCCGTTTTCCAGGTACCTTGGGTCCAAAACATGGTGGACAATTGGTTGCGAGATTATCCATTGGTGACAAAAGAAGAGCTTTTGAAGCAGTCTCATCTTCCAGCCGCAGCATTTCACGGTATGCATCAACCGCGGCCGAAAAGATTTTGCGACAATTGCAACTCTGGGGTCAAGAAGATCGACATTCATCAGTGTGTAGGTATTGATCAATGTATCATAACTCACTTACTTGTTCGGTTCCCTTAATCAAAAAGATAGGGTTACCGGCGTCTAGAAACTCATCGACGGCTTCTACAAAAGGAGCCAATTGAACAGTGCAGTACTTCCAGATGGCATGATGAAATGCAAGAAGGCGTATTGAAAACGCAGTTTGAGGGCGGACTGGAGTGCCTCCTATGTACCCTTTTCGCACTAATCGAACGAGGTCACTGACACATTTACACGTCTCGAGTGTAATCTTCTTCCGACCTTAAATGATTCATAATGAGAGATATTCAGGGATTAGATGTATAATGATGCTTTACTCACTAGTAAGGTCGACCGCATCAACCTCGACCACACTTCTTTTCCAAGATGGGCAATTGCACTGAGGGTTAAGGTCTCGGTTCCACATCTCTTCATTTCGCCATTGTTTGGTCTTGAATGAACAAATCATAAAGGCTTTGAAAATATCAGGGATAGCCGCTTTCCAATGAGCTTCCTCATTTAATGTCCGTTCTCGATAAGTGACCCCTTTAAAGTATGCCGATCGAACTCCTGGAGGATGAATTACAGTACCATTGTCTACTCGATCAACATCATTCATATCAGCTGTCATCTGAAGGTCATTATAGATGAAATTGTTGGGGATGTCATCATCGCTATTGCTTCCCTCGGGGATGTGAGGAATCACTGGCGCTTCTTCAACATGTTGATCGTTTAGGACAGCATTCCGAACTTGTGAATCTCGATCTTCAAGTGCTCGAAGGTTGGCTAGTCGTTCAGTGGCACTACCAGGAGCAGGTCTTGCCACAGGCGGGGTTTGCGATCGAGGACGTTTGTTTGAATGTGGGATAAGTGACCCAGGCAACGCCATGATAAGGCCGGCGGTAATATGAGATTGGAATAACGAGATATGGTAAAGATGTCCGTGAGTACACGGATGGACTATTGACCTCCTGTTGTAAGATAAAAGCGAACTAACAAAGGGTGATGCTGATGCGCATTAAGCTTCTACTTTGGGCCCTGCATTTGCCAATGACCCCCTCTATCATTACACTTTTTGAATAACCTACGTAAGCTTTGATTCAACACTTGAAAAGATCTCAGGGACATCAAATGGTCTCGACATCAGGGATCAAAGAGTTTGATTTACCGTTCTTGGTCAGACTACGTCTGACCAACTTCATTACTACACATAAACAAAAGCAATACGCAAGCTGAAATAGTTGCGAGTTGAGGGTAATGATGAAACCCGTGGAGCAGAAAGAAAGCATATGTGCGTGATATGCATTTTATGAAAACACTCCATCTTAAGTGTTTTGGTGCGTACATTTATTTAATGGATTTTGAGATGATTTGCGGTGATACAAGTAGCATAAAAGGTGCACAGCTCCCTCATAGTTGCTTCAAATCCAATGATCCAATAATAAGAAATATTCAGAAAGAAATAACATAAGGGGTTTATTATTGTAATATTTTCACGGTGACTGTCCGTCAACCCCATTATATACAATTTGTGAAGAGTTGAACTCGAGTTGAACGCTTTCAAGTTCAACATAATCCACACAGGTCCCCCATTATTGATCAGAGCTAAATTATCCCTTAATAAGAATTGTTCTTGTACAAATTTGATGATGGGTTGATAATAACACTTTTGACAAATAGTGTCATCTTGATGGGGTTTATTGTCTCAAAGTTAATGCAGCCTGTTCTCCTGTGACCTCAATGAAAGCATGAAACCCCTCATATATCAGTTTTCATTGGGTTTGAAAGGTTTTCTGCTATTGAGATATGTTTGCAACGTACCTGAAATACATCTTAAAATTTTCCACACTCCCTGCAACATGGCATCACCTGGTTGAATGGTGTTACGTTGGTATACTTGATGTTAAAACAACAAATATGCATGATGTTGAGCTCAAAATTTTGAAGATTTTCAAACTCATTTTGACGGATAACTTCATTAAGTAACCCCCCCTAAAAAACCCTCAGGAATTCACTGGAACAGCTTCTGAGATCAAAAATTCAAAACTGGCTGAGATATGGGCTCAGCAAAATATGTGTATAATTTTGAATGGCACATAACAGTGTCAAGATGGCAACTTTTTGATGAAAGCTCTTATTAAATGGAAAGTGAAATTATATTTCATATAACTTTCATTATTGACACTTCCAGTTTGGACCAAAATTGAGCGAGATATGAGCAATTTGTGACATTTTTGAACCTCTCGAACTTCACAAAAACCTCTAAATGACCATTAAGAATTTGATATTATAAAAAGTGATTCTATTAAACTCTACTTTAAATTGTTTTGCAAAGACTTTGTATTATAACATCAACAAGGTTGGTCAAAAAATGAAGGAGATATTCACAGCTTGGGGGTTTGGCAAGAGTCCAAAACATCACAAATACCTCCACATGGCCATTAAGGGATGTTGGTTTTCAGAAATTATTCTATCAAACGTACCTTAAAATTGATTGAGAAACAACTTTTATTATTGACACTTCCAGTTTGAACCAAAATTGAGAGAGATATGAGCAATTTGTGACATTTTTGAACCTCCCAAACTTCACAAAAACCTCTAAATGACCATCAAGAATTTGATATTATAAAAAGTGATGCTATTAAGCTCTACTTTAAATTGATTTGCAAACAATTTGTATTATTACATGAACAAGGTTGAGCAAAAAATGAAAGATATATACACCACTTGAGGGTTTGGCAAAAGCCCCAAACATCACAAATACTTCCACATGCCCATTAAGGTGTGGTTATTTTCCAAGATGGTTCTATCAAACTTAATCCTAAATTTCATTTCAAACAACTTCCATTATTGACGTGACCAGATTGGAGCAAAACTGAGAGATATAGGAGCCATAAGACCCTTTTGCAACATACAAGAAGCTCTATGTGCACCTAAACCTCACATTTTTTTTGGAAGTGGGATTATCAAACCCATGTTGTAATTGAATTTCCAACAATTTTCACCTTTGGACGGTGATAGTTGCATTAAAATTGAGTGAGGTACATGCAAATTGTGTCTTTGTAACCACACAAAGACATGACCGATTGGCAGGTACCTCAGACCGTCAAGGCTCACAGATTTGGTATCTGACCAGCACCAGTCAAGGTGAATTTGGATAACACAATGCTTTCTTTTAACGGTTTGATGTGAAGAATAATGACACTGCAGACATTATTCGGGTTCCCCAAGTGGGCAGGGAAAAATGATTGGGAGTATGATTTGTCATAAAATGGTCTATCACTCCACACCTGAGCCATAACACCCACACTACATATGTGTAGCAGGCTCAGTGAATATGTGGTTATCATGTACATACAGTTCTGCTCAGTTATCTGCTCACCAGGACAAGTTATTCATATGTAATACATGCTGTAACTTCTTTCAGATTGAAAAAAGCTTCCAAAAGATTGACTACTTACACTGACTCAATGTTTTGGTGTGATCTCATCAACTCAACTGCATGTAACACACTTTCTGTTACTAAGACATAGCTTCAACAATATTGCCTGAGCAGCTACAGAATTATATGTAGTGAATTTTTGGGAAAAAAATTTCAAAGTCGAAAAAGTTACATGTGGTATAACATGTGATTTATTTATTCTGATGGGCAAAAAACTGAGCAGACCTGTATGTACATGATAGACAACTATTGACTTAGCTTGCTGCACATATGTAGTGTGGGTGAAATGGCCCAGGTGTGCAGTATTAGATTCTTTTATGAAAAACTGTACTATTAATCATTTTCCTCTGCCAAATTGGGGAAGTTGAATGATGTTTACAGTGTGAATACCTTCAACCGCATCTCAGTGTTTTTTGTGGTGCATTGTATCAATTTGTTTAAATTCCAACTTTCGAAAGTTTATCAAAACCTTATTGTTTCCTTTACTGTATTATCTTTTCAATTTCAGAACTACATAATCTTTTGGTCATAGTTAGTGTTTGATTGTTAAATGCTTTTGTAACACTCGTGAAGTTATCGATTGTGCTTGAGTGACAATCATCATTCCTCTTGTAAAGTAATTTTATGAGAATGTCGAACGAGCACGATTGTGTTGATTGTGTTGATTGTGTTGTACTTTGTAATGAAATCAAAATCTAATATAGCATATACTTAAAATGATGTTTTTGAAAATGTGTCATGGAAATTGGACATCAACAATACATTTCAAAGATTTGAAGTTAAATAAAACAGCGTTTTATTTGAATCAATTGATATGTTGTAAATGTCCATCCCCTCACAATAGCTCACGATCAACCCCAAACCCTCATCCACCTTTCCAATCATCTACTCACAAGTTCAATACTTATATATTACATTACAATGCCCTCCACGCGCGCCTCAAGATCAAAAAAACCACCTGCTACAACAGACAAACCCAACAACATGGACAACAATGGTTTGGTCGGAGCTCGGAAGAAGACGTCTAAAAAACGCAAAACAACCTCGACTTCTGATCTCAACTCCGGTAATCCACTTGATGATGAGTTGCCAAACGAAGAATCATTGACTAACCAAAATGCCACTGCCAAGAAAGACGCACCATCAACTACTCAAACGGGTTCGAATCAAGTCTTTCAATCACGATTCCCTGGACTTGAATTCGATACCTTCGAACAAGACCTTGACAAATGGACTATCACCAAGCTTCAAGAAGCCTTACTAGGACAAGGCTCTCGGCGCACCAAAGTTAACAAGGAGGTCCAGAACCTTGTCGAAGTCATGCGGATCGAATTCGAAAAACGGATGCTCATGATAGCTCTCATGGCTGGAGTTCCTGAAGTTGTCATATGGAAATTGGTGTATGTAGTTTCTTTCGTTTCGTTTTTTCCTGTATCATCGAAGTGATTTCAAACAATAGATTTTGACCTTTTCAATTTCTTTGCTTTCTTTTGTTTGGACGTTCCCTGTATCATCGTATCATCGAACTGATTTCCAACAAATGAAGAATCCATTTTCCACTGCTTGATCACAGAGGTATGGGTTCCAAGAAAGTCAAGGGGAACCCCTGGATACGTTTCCTGGCTTTTTGTTTTCAATGCTTGGGTGATAAAAGTAAGTACCTCAATTGTTAATTTAACACCATTGTTATAAGCGTTCCGCATTGAACTTATGATATTGTTGAAATATCTTGGAATTCAAAACAGTGCCAGATCGAAATGATAAAGATGGATGGGTATCCCGCAATCAGCAGAATGCCGACAAATGGCACGCTCTGAGCAAGGATGAGCAGGAAATATTCAAAGATCCGTACTTCTTCGCTCTAGCTAACCTGCCCGATTATTCCACTGCTTCAATTGGCGACGATGAAGGTACCGGGGCCAACAACAACGAGAATGGGGTAGATATCAATCAGCTCGATGGTACGACACCAGCTCCGACAGTTCACAAACTCTCAGACGAAGACAAGGCAAAGTATCAACCTCTTTTTGAGAAGCTCGTCAATATTGACAAATTGCACCTCTGCCATGGTAAGCCAGAACCTTCAGCAACTGTTTCCACTTTACAAAAGCGATCATTAGTTGCTGTTTGCAAAGCGCATCATGAAGTAAGTTCAATATCTCTTTCAATTTCTGTAAATGGTACACTGAATTTCCTTTTTTTTGTTTTCAGTTCTCGGTTGTCTGTCAACAGAATCATATCTCGTATTACTTGACTGCCGCAAGCTCAGGTAGTGTCGATGGATGGTCGCAAACGTTCTCCAGTAACATCAAATTTGCTAATTGGGCACTGAAGACGGCTAAAGTCCCTACGAAGTTTCAAACTTATATACATGGACAAGATGTAGCAAAAGAAATCGAAGCGAAAGTACCACAAGCAAGCGATGAAAGGAAAAGCCGACTAACTCACCAACTGAATGATATGTTTGGTAGGGGTTTCAATGTTCTTTTTCAATGGGTTCCTGATAAGTTGTTGCTAATTTGACATCTGATCATCTAGGAGTTCATGTACATGAAAAATCGTTCCCGAAGATGCCTGATCCTATAGCCCACATCGAAAAGAGAGGATATCCGATCAAAATCGTCCAGAAGCCGGGTAGCAGGCTTAGCGCAGCCGACCTTTTGAAAGGTCATCGAAAACTAACTGATGCAGTTATTCAGCTTTGGTTGAAGGATATTGAGGATGGCCTGTTTGTAATTGAGCCAAAACTGATTGTCGATACCAACGAAGAACATCCTGGTCAGCAAAGTAATTCGAAACCAAAGAAGAAGAAAAATCAAGACTCTCAGAAAGGAAGTGCTTCTAAGGTAAGACATCCCATCAATATGACCTGATAGAATCAGACTCTAATTCTGGCTTCCTTACCAGCAGCCCAGTAAGTCTCGTGCGCGTCTCCAGAAGTTGGCCAAAGGAATCCATAACAATTCAGAGGATGATACGAGTCACAGTAGTACTTTGGAAGACGAAGAAGAAGACGAAGAACTCCAATCCAATAGTTCCAGCGATAGCAATAGCAATAGCAATAGCAATAGCGAGGGCGAGGGCGAGGGCGATGATGCAAATTGATTGTGAGGGTAGAAACGTAAGGATGAGTTCAAATCTTCCTTTTCATCACTAGGCTCACTTTCTCTACAATTGAAATCAAGCTGATTTATTTCCTTGCCTTTTGATTCCCACCTAGGTATGTTGCAGACTTCAAGTATAGTCAGGTCACCCGTATTGCTTTCAAAATTGTAGCTTATCTATACTTCGATTCACGAGCTGCTCTACAAGTCCTCAAACTTCTACTTCAGCTATCTACTTGTTTCTGTTTCATTTGGTTTTCATTGCTTAATATGAATGATAAAATTGTTGTATGTACACCTGCTACAACAACTACGACTAGGCTTTTTTGCTTCTTTTTTCTGCTTTGTGAAAGTGTTCATGAAATATAAATCGATCAGATCAACTGAAATTGAACAAAAGGTCTCATGGTATAAGGTACAAGTTGGGATTGAGAGCCTTCGGTTCCTTTGATTCGGTTGAAGGACATAGAGCTTTAAGAATTGAGAAGCCCAAGTTTGGATCGTTGATTCTGTTGAATCACATAGAGTTAAATGAAATGAAGCCGAGGTAAGTGTAGTGTAATGTTTAGATGTTAGAGTTGATCAGGGTGGTTCAACTTCCTCGCGGAGTCAATCGGAAGGGTAGAGTGGTCTGGTGTCAATGACTGTGAGGTCGAGTCACCCATGAAGCAGTAAGAAAGTCAAATCGAGTGAATCAAGTGTGAACTTGAAGGTGTGTATGTACAGTTGGTGTGTTCCTCAGAGCGCTCTGAGGAACTTATTTTCTTCACTTAAGTCTTTCAGAGCGCTCTGAGTATCTTCCAGAGCGCTCTGAGACTACCTCAGAACACTTTTTTGACCTGGACACTGACTTGATCAAAAAATTTTTTTTTGTCAAGTTTTTTTTTGGCTAAAAGCAATCTTTAGACCTTGTACATAGTCCAGCCAAAGTTTCCTATGATTAAAAGTTGAATGTGATGAACCTTGGGGGTATGCAAATAGTGACCCAGGTCACCTGAACTGCTCTGCTGCGAAGAAACGGCTCATCTGTCAATGGTATTGTGACATTTACTACTGACTGGTATGTCAATTGATACAGGTGACACAGGTGATCCTTGAACAACATCGTCTCATCTTCTCCCAATTCTCGCCAAAGCTTGCCCAAGGTCTGATTGCGCTCAACCCATCCATCAGAATTGCCTCGCACAGGTACTGAAATGAGTCTATGTCAGGAGATGCAATGGGAAAAGAACACATGTGATTATATGACATACCATTAACGGAGAGCGCGGCTGGGCAAAAGGCCAAAAATTGTGCATAACAATTCATCTTACTATTCTTCTTTGGTCCGGCATTCCTGTCGGTAGTTGGAGTTAGTCAGTGAAGAATCCCAGCTGCCAACAGCCTGAGAAGACAAACTTACACAAGAGACCAAATCATACTCTCACTTACACCACCCATAAGTGCCATCATCAGCATTCGCTTCTCATAGTCGATCCGGATTAGCTCCACAAGTGTTGAGATCTCGTTTGGAATCTGATTTTTGTGCCTTGAATTCTTCTTTTTCTGGTCCATAAGGGCTTGCCTGAGTTCAACAATTTTCCAATTTCCAAGCTGTTCCTCGAAGTTCTCAATTGTCAAAGCAGGAAAGCATGAGATGAATTCTGTCGTATCTTGGTGATTTTCGGCGGCGCGACGATCAGAAGAGTTTTCGAGGTTGTTTGAGGAGGTACGAGGGTCTGGAGAGTTTTGCCCATCACCATGAGAATCATCGTCAGCCGCATTGTTTTGATTCTGTTGCTTTGAACTACGATTCTTTTGAGTTTTGCGAGTCTTGTTAGTGTTTGAAGCGGCATTAGGTGAGCCGGCACGTTTGTTGTTCCGCAGATTCATGATGAAAGTGATGGTCTTGATAATTCAAAGATAAATTGAAAGGTGAATTTGATGTTGACAAGGCGGATCAGAAGGTGGGTCAAGACGTGGAAGAGAGGTTGTACATATAAGTTGTATAAATTGAAGAGTCATGGTACCGGGGCTTAGCGGGGTGTGGTACCGGTTCATGTTATATATACCATACACGGGAGGTTTGATAAATCAAAGGTATAAATCACTAAAGTGAAATAAATTGTTCAGAATTGCTGCAACCTTCATGATATAATGGCCAAAAAAATTCATAACCCAATGTCATGATGAGTTTATAAAGAGAAATCTCCAATAATCATCATTATTGAAGGCCATGTAGACTAAAATGTACATTTTCAAAAAGGTATAAACCACACAAAAGTGGTGTAACTCAGTCACAATTTGTGCTACATTGATGATGTATAGATCATAAATGTCCAGAATCAACATTGAGAAAGACTTTAATAAGCAGATTCTCTCATATTGATGGGCCTCATAGATATATGTGCTACAATTCCAAGCTTTAAATAGGGAAACATCACATAAAAGTGATGTATGTCTCTGCTCACATTTTTGTGAAACAACCAAAATGCTC